TATTTATATTTCCGAAAACATTTTTATATTTTTTAAAAACATATTTGTACTTCTAAAAAACGTTTTTATACTTCTTATAGAGAATTTATGGACCCCTCGATTTTAGACTCTTTGTGACAAGCTTCACGTTGTTGTTAAAGTAAGAAGGTCAAACATAGAAAAGTCAAACACATAAGTCAGAAGCAGTTTGTCAACACAGAAGACCAAATAAAGAAAGCCCGTTTTAGTAAGTAAGGAGTCAGTTATGAAATTTGTTAGAAATTTATTTATAGAAGCCTCCAAAAATTCAATTAGTTACTTTCAAAAGGAACTCTTCTAGTTAGCCTATAAATAACTCGTGTGGTCCATATTTTTTTAAAGAACAATAACAATATATTTTCTTCTCTTTCTTTACCTGCTTTAGATCTTAAGTTTTCAAAATGTATAGTCGTTGTGTACATAAAAGAAAATTCAAAATTGATATAAAAATAGATCAACTTTAACAAAATAGTACCTTCCCTACGTGACTACGTCCTTATAGCAACAACCACCGGAAAAGCCATAAACGAAAAAAAATAAAAAAATAAAAAATAAAGTTTGGTTCTTTTTCTGTTGCGTCTAGAACCAAAAAAGAGAAAAAGAGATAAAGAGATTTTGGTTTCTTTTTTGGGCACAAATTGATATGATCTTTGTCATATTTATGGGTTAAATAAAAATTGGGTTCATTTTCTTTAGACTTATGTGATTTAAGGTGGCCTGGGCTAATACAATCTTATGTGGGCTGCAAAGTTATTGGTAGACCTGACAATTCGTGTATTCGTGTCATGAAAAAATGTCAGCCACGAATTTGACACGATACGATTACACGATGAGAAATAAGCTTTATCTCAATTTTTAAGATGTATCCGTGTCGTGTATTCGTGGCGTGTCGTGTCTCTCATAGATTCGTGTCTTCGTGTCTGAAATTGCCAGATCTAGTTATTGGTGAACTACTCGATTGTGGTATACCCACACCCGGCAACAAATCGGGGGTAACTTTTTCTTATTTACTTTTGTATTTTTATGTTTAACATTTCTAGTGAATTTTATTTGATTTCAATTGAATTTAAATTTTATGGGGTGATTTACTTTGGATTTTGTTGGCTGGGGTAAAATGTTGATTTTCATGTAGTTAATAAGTTTAAACCAAATCATTAACCATGAGGATTTTTGGAAGTTGCGATATGATATCCTCGTTTAATCAATTTGCATGTTTAATACGTAAAAAACCATGTAAGGGCCCACGACAAAACACAGGCTCAAATAAAATGTAAAATGATATGTAATTTGATACATCTTAGCCTGTCTAATACTAGGGTTCACAGAAAACCCAATCCATACGGAACTGAACTTTTTACACTAAAACCATTCAAGTTAAAACATTTAAATATGTTGCAAATTTAGTCAAAATTTTTATTCATTTTTCAACAAATAACCAAATAAATAAAGAAATGATCCAAATAGTCAACGAAATCGAAGATGGCAATTCTTCCCCTGCAATTTGAGTTAATGGGGTCCGATTTCCCGTGTGATTAGCCTAATGTATTTGAACCTTAAGAAAAAAAATAATCACATTTTTACATCTTCAATCTAAAGGAAATTGTTGCGAGGGGAATTGTTAGTCTAGTCTTGGAGTCTTTTATTTATATATTTATTCTTCTTTCCATAAAAAATCAAATTCATTTAATACAAATCTAACTAGAGACACGTTATTTATTATAAATTTATGGCAATTAAATTGATTCATTTTTATATTTACAAAGTTCATATTATACCAATACAAGGATCTGGATTTTTGAAATCTTATTAGAATACTGAATATATATATATATATATATATATATATATATCTATATAGATATATATATATATATATATATATATATAATATATATATATATATATATATTGCACGATAGTAGTACTTGAGACAAATAAAACATGAATTTGATCTTACATGCACTTGTGATCCTGGCAATGGTGCCATTTTGTATTGCTTCAACGTCCAATGCTATCATGTATAGGATGTATATAACTAATGGCATCGAAGATAATATTGAAGTTCATGTCTTTGGCAAAGACCAAGACTATCAAGGACAACGTACACTTGCTTTTAATGAAGAGTTTGATTATAAGATTCGTGTCAAAGTTGGCACGATTTCTAGGGGTGAGTTTTGGTGGGGATCAAAGTATGCAATTGTTAGTATTTTTAATTTTGACATTTTTGGTGTTTGTTTCAGTGGAAATATCTTTGAAGTTCAAAGATGTTATTGGTTAGTAAGACCAGATGGAATTTATGTAAACGGAAACAATGATACATTTCCTAATAGAGGTTGGCATAAAAAAATAACTTGGTAAAACTTGTAGACTCTTTAATCAATCCAAAGTATGATTTATGAAAGAAATATAACAGATTCTAAAATAGATTTTATTTTCTATATTCTTGAAGATGATTATATTTTTTTTGCTGGCATAAATTTTATTTACTAAGAAGGCTTTAAAGAAAAAAAAACATACTTACATATATATACTAGAAATAGAAAAAAACTATAGTGAGATTAGTTGTATTGGAAAATAAGAAATAATTAAGACTAATGGTGTCAAAATAAGTGAAAATATGTATTGGATGAACCTTTACAAAATATTTGACTTCGCGATCTAATTGGTGTTTATTAATTAGTACATATATTTTTTTAAATCTTGAGATTTTCTTAAAATTCAATTGTTTTGTCATTAAAAATCACAAGTAGAGTGATTATAACCAATAACCATATCAAGTTGCAATTCTTTAGATATTTCTCAGCATGCATTTTAATGACATAAGAACCTGATAAAACCTTACAGTGGCATTTATTCTCTAATTAAGTTATAATTTAACCCAAAAGACACAGAAAACATGATGAAGCGGTTTGGAAGTTCAAAAAAAGTTATTCACTGTCTTCAAGAGCAAAAGGAAGACGTTTATTGACATTTTAAAACTAGGTAATTAATTTTGCGCTTAGGTTGGTGGAGTGGCCTCGCCATGCGTTCGACACATTGAGCTCGGCATTCCTCGACAACGGCAATGGCTAGAAGATGAGAGAGAAGAGTGTGTATCCAAACCATGATTAAAAAAAGTTGCTCACTTTAAAAGAACTATCCACTTTTTTCAACAAAAATTCAAAATTTTAATCCTCTTTCGACCAATATAAATACTACCATCTATCCAATTTTATATCATTCGACAACCTTCAATGTTTTCCGTATTTCATTCTAATATTCTTCTTATTTTGTGAAAATGGCTTCCACCAACTCCCCATCCAACCCAAAATATCCAAGAAAAAACAAAAAGAATAGGGAAATTTCCAGAAAAGTTCTATAATTTTAGTCTAATTTATGAAAAAGTCTCAAACTAATTTTTATTTACAGAAAAACACATAATACCGGCTAAAACTTCGAAAAAACCCGTTTTGCCCGGTTTCAAAGATTTAGCCGTTATTCTATCATTTTTCGTTAGTTTGCTCAAAATATTATGATTTTTCTGAAAATTACCCGATAACCAAAATATTGAGACTTTTCTGAAAATTATTATGCAATTAATGGATATTATTATTAATAAATCATTTATAAACATATAAATTTTTTATTATAAACAAAGTAAATACATTTTTTTGCTAATTTTAGGAAAAATATGGTCGACTATCTATTTCTCTATTGTTTGTTGACCACTTCAAAGTCCCTATGTTTTTCCTATGTATTGTTGTGAGTGTCATAGTAAGAAGTAACTTGTTAGGTGTGACCAATACAATATTTGATAATATTTATTAATACACAATCAATAAGTGTCTACTTGCTATTAGACATGACGCTATATGATCACATGTTATTAGAAAATATCATTACACAATGATTCTTAAACGTATAGATATTTTATTATGTTCTTTAACCTAATTACCACCTAACCTCCAAACATTAGCCGGTAACAACCATCAAATTACACACATCTATCGAGAGTGAAAAGTAAACTTTGAATGACAATTTAAATAGATAATCACCCTTCACTTGTTTCCATATAAACTATCATTCACGGATCACTTTTCACATTTTATAGATGTGTGCTAGCTGATGGTTGTTAACATGTGAGGTATGGATGTTGAGTGGTAGTTAGGTTAAACAACATAAGATGAACACCAACATTAAAGGAACACTAACTGAGTACATCTCAACATCATATCCACAACAATACATAGAAGGAATGTAAAGGGTTTGAGTGGTCAGCAAGCAATAGATGAGTACTTTGACCACCAATTTATTCCTAAAAATTAGCAACAAACGTATTTCCTTTTTTTATAATAAAAATATTTTTTTATGTTTATAAATGATTTGTTAATAATAATATTCATTAGTTCCATGGTAATTTTTAGAAAAGTCCCAATATTTTGGTTATCAAGTAAATTTTGGAAAAGTCCCAAATTTTTTACCAAACTAACGAAAGGACAAAATACCGACTAAATTTGCGAAACCGACCGAAAAAGGGTTTTTTCAAAGTTTTAACCGGTATTCTGTGCTTTTCTGTAAACAAAATTTAGTTTGAGATTTTTTCATAAATTGACCTAAAATTTAAGGACTTTTTTTGGAGATTTCCCAAAAAAATACCCAAAATACAAACATTTCAAACCCTTCATCACTCATCTTCTATATTCTCAAATGGATCACCATATTTTTTACCCCCACTTTCCATTATCTCGTTATCGGTCCATACTACAATCCATATTCTAGCCAATCCCAACTCCAATTGTAATCCAAATCCCAATCTCAACCCTAATTCCAATCTCAAAATGATTTCAACCCATTTGACCATTCAAGAAACTCAATTCAAATTTCAATCTCAACACCAATTACAATTACAATCCTAATCTCAATCCCAACCCCAACCCCATATCATACCTGAAACCAATTCAGATCCCTTAAAATGATCAACCTCTATTCGGATCCCTAAAAATGATCAACCTCTATCAGAACCCAAGAAAAAAAAAGAGAGGCACCTAGTATGAATTGGCCCCTTGAGGAAGAGAAGGTGTTGACATATGCATGGGCTGACGTTTCGGAAGACCCAAAAGTCGGAAACGACCAAGATGGGGCAACTTTTTACCGGAAAGTTACAAGGGCCTTTTTATCCGAAATGAAACGTGGAGACTACTGAAAAAAAAGATCAAATTTACTAGAAATGGAGGAACACCAAAAAAGTTGTTTATACTATCTTATTTAATTGTATATTTTAGGCCATTATCTTAATATATTTGGACTTAATTGTTATATTTAAAGATAAATGAAACTTAATATGCTTTGAATTGGACAATTACAGGTAAAATTCATAGATGATGATACAAGGAAAAATTGGGACAAGAATGGAGCTAATAAAGACGAAATTCAAAAATCTGCCAAAAAATTTGACAACCACGATGCAACAATAAACCATTTACGTCTTCGAATCGACGTTTTCCTGATCCGATAAATACATGATTTTTCAACCTTAATTCGGGATACAACCAAGGTGTAACCTTGAGAACCTTTCCCAAGGAGTTAGAAGGTGTTCTTAACATCCACAAACCAATTTGGGTCGATATTAAGGTTGGAGAAGCACTTTGGAGTAATGATTTGAAGAATCGGAAGCTAGAGCATTAGAACTACAAATAGGTTTGCTTTATGATCGTGTTTAGCAATTCGTTTTTGATGTTTTCCTATTTTTATTTACTGATTATGGGGTAATACTCTTTGCTACCACTTAAATGTAGATAAACCATTAATACTTTGGTTTGATTTATTCGTTGGAGTTATAAAGTTTGATTATTTATTATGTTTGTTTGATCTACTACCTTATATGTTAAAGTTTCAATTTTTATTGCCTATTGTTGATTTAATAGAGTCTAGAGGACCAATCCAACTTTGTTAATTTGAATCATAATCATCCAATACATTGGTAATTATCACTATATATGGATAAAATCCTAGGGTTAGGTGATAAAAATTTAAACTTAATTTTGTACGTGCATTAGGTGTCCATGCGATGTTTCGATTGATCTTCATGACCATTTGAAATTAAATCACTAGATCAATTCTGTCATAATTCGAATATTTAATTGATTATCTAGCTAATTGCATGTTCATTGTAGTAGTTTCTTATAATTAATAATATTAGCTAATCGGACCAAGATAACAATTCATTATATAAATTAGTAATTAACTTGTTAAATCCATTGCACTTATAATAAATCAACCAAAGGAAAAATAATCGGATTCAAAATTTAACTGGAAGTACTTTCTCTTCTTTGTCTCTAAATCTAGACTCTAGTTTTGTTTTCGTTTAAGGTTTATAGTTTAATTGAATTTAAAAAAATACCCCTCTTTACTTCAATTTTTATAGTTTAGTTAACATTTGAGTTTTCCGATCTAATCATATATGTTCCCTTTGTGTTCGACACCTGGTCTTTGATAGTTATACTGCTACATGATTAGGTATACTGCCTAGTGTGTTTCAGTCAAGTTGAGAATAAATCAGTTTTATATATTTAAAACTTTTATTAAATTTTAGTATATAAAACCACACATCAAGTTTTTTGCGCCATAGCCGGAGAACAGTTGCATTTAGTTTAAATTATTTATTTGCTGTTCAAGTTTGTATATAGTTTTATTTTAGTTGTTTTTATTCTTATGTTTATTTTTAAATGGATTATCTGATTTTTTATACCTTTTATTTTACTCTTGAGCATGAGTTGTAGGAACTAGAGCTATGTCATCAAGAAAAAGAATTAAAGGAACTAGAAAGATTACTAGAAGAAGAGGATTATGGTGCTGAAAATGAACTCCTAATACTCGAAAGGGTGATGGAAGAAAAAATGGAAAAAATGGTGTGATGATATCCATGAGATACACCTCGCCCTCATAACTGTCGCACCACACTCCCCTGTTCCCATTTTCCTGACATTTGGGGTGAAGTTTTTGTCTCTGCAGAATGTTCTGAAGTGCGACCCTTTTCTGATCAATGTCCAAAAAGTTACACTTCATGTTGGTATTGGTCAATTTTCGAAACGAAGAGTTAAATTTTATGAATTGGTTTGAAAAGAGTATTAAATGTAAAAGATGGATTGGAAACAACTATATTAGAAGTTAATGAAGTTGAGAGTCCATCTCAAGACTCACACAAAAAGAAGTGCTTATCGGGAGATATATGAAGATCCCCTTGTAGTAGAAATTGTTGTGAGTGGGGGCTCAGTCAATAAAGATGCACAATCAAAAATA